TCCACAGCTGTGAGGTGTTATTGCTCGAAACTGAACCGCTAACTTCTTTCAAAAATGTCATAAGAATTACAACAACGGGAACACTAATGACAAAAGAGTCTTCAAACTTAACATACAGAGCGAAATCACTCAAATTACCTGAAATCTACAACGAAGCAATTGTGACGTAGCATGCATAAAGTATGTAAATTAGATAAATTATTAAAAATACTGCAGTTAATAGTACAGTATATCAGAGTATAAATAATATTGTAGCTATGTAGAAAATTATCATTAGTTATCATAAAGTAAATTAACTTGATAAATACAAATGAGCCGCTTCAACTAAAATGTCTAAATGCATAAAGCCATATACCTTCGATGCTACGAGTGAAACGTGGCATGACATGAAAAATAGAACAAGTGTTTTCGGCTTTTTGCATGTTGAACACGTCAACGTCATACAGTTCGAGAAGCTCGACGAAAAAGTAATCACGAAATAAATTGAGATCTTCTATGACAAAAAGCTGAAATAGGATTAATCAAAAAAACTTTCAGTAAATGAATCAGGTCACTATGTTATAAAAAAACATCAAAGCAGCATTTAGAAACAAAAAAACTAAAAAATGAGAAGGTAACAGACTGCAATCCGAGGAGTGGTAACACGCACGGAGAGGACAATGAATTCTCTTGAGCAAGAAAACAAGTAGAAAGTTGTTGACTTGCGAAATACATCGATTACATCGTATTCAACCGTGGGGCGAGATTTACGATGTACGGCCACGATGTCAGCTGCGAACATCTCAGTGACTGCATCTCGCCTTCACCCAGCTGATAGCTTACTTTTCAATCTGTAGAAACGGCTTAAACGTAAAAATAAAAGAAATATATGCATTACACAACGAAAAAAGGCAGAAGAGGTCAAATGAAATAAGCAACTAAATTAGTAATAATTTCGTTTTACCTCCGGCGCTTCCTCGGCTACAAGCACGATACGGTATTCTATGTTCCACCGGATGACACGACAAGGAGGTAGCTATGAACAGCGGTAAACAAGTGAAGAGAATAATTAAAAAAGTTACATTTTTTGGAAGTTCTTCGTGAGAAAACAAAGAAAATCCCTCGAATTTATATGCATGATCATCGTGCATTATAGTCGTTGGTGCCTTTGTCTAAAGTTGAAAACTTAAAATGTAAATATATTAATATTTTGTTACCGAAAAATTCTTCAACGGGCTAATGACGACTCTGTAATGATGCAGGCGGTTCAGATTGTTCGACAGCGAATCACATGCTGGAATTGGCTGAAAAATAGTTCAAAACAATTTTACACTTAAGTTAAATTATTGAAGGAAAGTTATCGAAGAATAAATACGGATTAAAACTGTTGTTATGCTATCTCTGAAGCTCAACTCTGTAAACACATAGGATGAAGGCATGAGGTTCACAAAACTATACAACAGGTGCAACCTGGAAGAACTGATGAACAAAAATGGCTTCACTGGTACTGATGCGCGACACCTTAGCGGCATGACACGCTTACTATAAGGCCGTTAGTTTCTTTCACTGCAAATCACTTGATATTGAATTCGCTGGAAAGGCCGTACAGCCTGATGATCATTTGTCTTTGATCTTCCAAACGTTTAAGAAGGCACACCGAGATATACCTCTGGAATCTTTCCTGGCCGCAGCTTCTATCCATCTATCGCTAAGACCATCAGAGTTTACAGCACATGTCGAAAAATATTTCTTGAAGCTGGAACGAATCTTGATCTAGCAAAGTCAATGACTAAGGACCAATGATAATCTGATGGCACGTGAGCCTTTAATTTACTTTTGACTTTTTTGCAGTTTTGATGTTACCATTCGACTGTTCAATCTTATAATAACAGCAACATAATTAATCCAATGAATAACATTCCATGCCTTTCTGAACAGAATCGCCTTTTTCTCTTACGTAACAGAGATCTAAGTTTCATCACTGACTTAACAGCAGTCCTGTATCAGAGATTCTTCGAATAGACTCAAACAGATACTGGCTGATGCACAGAGTGCAAAGATCAGCAATCGATTCTTCGTGCTGTGTATCAAGGCTCACCCTTCTCCACTTTACTACTGACAGAGTTCGTCAGAAACAAATGTAGTTTTTTTTTGTAAGAATCGAGTCTTACACTTGGGCACAGAAGGCTCGTCCGGTTAATCAGGCATTTAATACATATGCATACTTGTCGAGATTCATCGGCATATTCGTATCGTCTCAGGCGTCATTATAAAGCCGATTCATGACATTATGGACCTGCAGTGTATGCATATAAAGCCATCTCGTCCACATGCTGGGTGAAACAAAAACAGCGTCGAAGAACAATCAATGTAACTCGATCCGTACGCATACACGTTTATAGAAGCTGAAACTGCTGTTCACGACGATAATTTTTAAGAATTAATCGGCAATATTTCGACAAACTTATTGACAATGTTGTCAGTTGATTCATCTGTGAAAGAATCATGCTAATCAATCAAAACACTGTCGATTAATTTATGATCATGACTTTGAGAATAATTAAATTGCAAATTTAAAGGTTCGTCAACGATGCAATAATCTGTCATACGAGTTTTTGTTGTCAAACAGTTTATTGAACAACCCTGCAACGGAACTGCGCCAATTTGCGTGTCGTTCATAACTGACTTTATTTTGAGTTACGCAATCAGGGTGGCACAGCAAGTTTTTCACTTGTTCTTCTGGTATATAACAAAGGCGCTGTTTACGCATTGCATCCGTTTTATCCAACAGATTAGGCAACTGCTCAGCACCATCTATTTTGCTGCAGAACCAAGAGATTTTTCAGCATAAACTTGTCTTCATGACAGACAAAACTAATTCAGCTTAATGCATACGCAGAAAGGGCAGCCACCAACATACGACAATGCAGCTACCTTCTGAAATGTTCAAATTCATTACAGAACACCGAAAGAGTCAGGAACAGTCACTAAGAACCTGGGTATTTCCTACAATTACATATGCTTGGCCAGTACAGTTATTGTCCCTTCGTAAAATGAACATACGCATATTTCGATCGGCACTGAAAATTATACGCAGAGATAGGCTGTCCAATATAAATGCCATGAACTCTATGGTAAATCAGACGGCTACATCAATTGTAACTCTGTAAACATATTTCCACCGATCCTCTAAATCCTTTGCAAAGAAAATTATTAAAATGCAGTTCGAAGTTCCCATTCCACTAAGCGACGACTGAAGCACACAGAAAATCCGTGATTTCGCAGAGGGCTCAGACTTTGCAAAAGGAAGAAAGAGAAACGTAGAATCCGTACAAATCGATCCATTCATAATAACCCATATATTTAGACGCTCATTGCTATTAATCTTTTATCCACCAATCCGTCTTTTCTACATCATTCTGTATTCTTTGTCTCATTATTATTCAACTTGTTTGTTTGCATCAGATGTACACCACTGGTTCAGTGACAACTGAAATGTTAGTCTGTGCAAGTTTTAAGTACTATCTTTGCTAATTAAACCAGCACACTCCTTTGATATCGATTCTCGATATTCCGGAGATGATACGGAATACAGGATATGAGCTTAGTATACAGTAATTTACTCTTCTATTCCAGCATTACATATACAACTGTTTACTGTACTTGGATAAGTACTCTTCGAAAGTCTCAGGTTTAGTTTTGCCTAGATGTATGCATTAAAACCTTTGTCGGGTGTCACAAACTATAATCTTGTCGTTACGCATAAACTGAAACTAACATCTAATAAAGAGATTTCTGAAACAGCGGCGAGAGGTTCTAAATCAAATAAAGTAATTTTTACTCAATAATATTCATGACGCTCCAGTTCAATGGATTTTGGTACAAGACTAATGCAAATGTTAGAACACCTTCCAATTTTACCGAAAACAGTATTTTCATTCAACAACAATAGTCTTTTTTAAGACAGACAATTTCATTTATGAACGGAAATTTCAGATATCACCGACAGGTAATACGATAAACAAAATTGAATGGACTATCGAAAGGAGAAAAAGAGAATTACCGTACGACAAAAGTAGACTGAAAATGTTGCGATAGTAATCACTTTGCGTCTGTCTGTTACTCATCTTGGGTAAATCAGAAAGCTGCACGTTTTTAAGCAATATTAATGTTTTTATTTCCAAATTCGTTTTTAAATCGAATAATAAAAATTCATACAATTCTTGTTAGAAATAAACAATTTAATAAATTATTTTTCATTAACCTGTCACATTAATCAATTGCATTTTACAGATAGTTGCTCAGAGATTATCTTAATTTTCTGTGTGGATGGAAAGCTATCCATCGTAACAATGTTCAAAAAAGTTTATTCTACACGTATTTTTAATGGCAAAATCCTGAGATTTTGAATCGATCTGCATCCATTTTCATGGGCCATTATGTAACAACACGTGCGAAAACTATGCCAGTAATGTTGTGTTATACTGTGGAATGAATTAAAGATGTAAATACGATCAATGAATTGTTGATACGTGCTGCATTTCAAGCATAGACCTTGGAATAACAGTGATTAATCGAAACTGCTCATTTGTTACCTGAAAAGAATAATGAATCATTTTAAAATTTTATCTGAAGAATGACGGTTTGACTAAGTAAATGAAACTGTATTGAACTCATTTTTGATGACCATATATTTACCTTCTCTCCAGGATATATGTTATGAGCAATTCCTTTCTGACACGTTTTCCAGCTACATCGACAAAATGGTCCATCATTCATCTAGATCACAAGAACAAAGATCAAACAGTATATGATCGACTACGAGTCGCACATTCACCCACTTGTCCAGGCTCGTTGAACCACAGTTCTTTATGAAGTCTTGCCGGGTGTCGCTGTTTGCGCGTCATTTCGCTTAGAGCCAAGACAAAGCGCTGATTTTCAGCCTCTGAATCTGAACTGTCACCATCACCGGTGTCTGATTCCTCTTCTTCAAATGACGACGAACAAGGAGATTCGTCTGATTCGTGAGAGGAGCGACAAGAGGATTTTTCTAAATCAACTGAATCGCATCTGCCAAAACTTGTGGATGTAAGTTCAACGAAACCTGCGCCGTGGCCGCAGCATATGGAACGGGAGAGGCTCGAACACGGCGTTTCGGAGACAGGCTGCTGCACCCTGCAATTCTGGCTAAAAGTCAGTACATTCTTACGGAACTGATCGTGCAGACAACGCAGTTTGTCGGTTGCAGTAACCACGAGGCCGCTCTGAAATTACAAGCCATGCAGAAAAGAGAATATTGAAAACTAGAAATAAGTACATCCTTGCTGCGGGTGTAAAACGATTTCGCTGGGGTATTCTGGGTCCAGTAATTGACCTGTTCCCGTTCACCATCAACTTCCTTCTCTTCTTCCGTTTCACTTACATAACTGTCGAAGCTGTCAAAGTCAAGGCTTGTCAGTGGGACCTCGTTTTCTGAAGCGTCCAAGTACTCGTCCTCATCAGTACTAAAAATACTTTAGCTTTAAAGGAGCTGTAAACTAAAACTGTGTTCTTCATCTGCGTATACATATTACAGTGCAGATGTATTGCCCGCATTTTCCGACAGTTATTTAAATTGTAGTTTCGTTCTTCCTTTCTTTTACATTTTTGGTAAAAATAGGCGGTGCTCCAAATAATTCAAACTCAGGGTTTTCGTCGACAGATCGGAGTCCTACCTTACCGGAGGACAAAGTACGGTATAGTCGAGAGTTGCAACGTGGCACGATTACAGTATGGTTATCCTGAATGACTGTTAGGAAGCTCGAAACGGTTGGCAAACACAGCTTCGTAATCATGGTTCACAAGACTCTTCAGTAACGCAGTTCTCTCTAAAAGAAGACAGTAAACGGAGACGGAAAGATTAAGGGTGACCATCCGTCCCTCTCGGTAAAGAAACTTTTCATCGTGGCCCTCACCCCTGAAAAAATTATCCGCGAAAAGGAAAGAACATTCTTAATGCATTATGATGCAAAATGGAAAGCAAAGAAAATCATTAACGTCGTTTCAGCTGTGAATCCAGCATTAGAACATTATCTAAACTGGTACATGCATTACCTACAACCGTTTGATTTACAAATGCAATATTTAGTTCATAAACTCGTTTTTTCAGACGATTTAAGTGCTGTTTTGGGTTCAAATCTGATCGGTCACTCAACCTTCAGCTTTGAGAGCATATATATCTTAGTAGCTGCAAAACTGCGAATACTGCATAAATAAAGAAAGTTTGGCCGATGGTTAAGAAGCACATAAATTTGTATAATACGTGATAGCGAACAAACTGTTCAGCCAGCGTGAATCCGACAAACTCAAACCGATTTTTTTTAAATATCTGATTCAAAAGTTGGGATACGTCCCTATCTCGCAAAGTATTGATAAATTTTAATCAAAGATACCTTTGCATTCGTTTAATAACAAAGCAAAGTTTACCATGAACTGCAACTTTTGTGTTACTATAAACATTTTATGAAGTACAGCAATTCTAATTCGTCTACTTTAGGCTAAGTATAGCCAACAGCATGACGAATTTACCAAAATAATGCAAAGCAGATTATATTCGTAGATTACTGTAGGCTACTTAAGAGCGCAAATCAATAATTAGAAAATATATTACAGTTGATCTTCGAATTCCAATGCAACTGGATAAAGCGCTTT